AGATGTGTATAAGAGGAATGGGGTGGGGCGCACACTTTTTGTGGGGGGGGGGGCGTGCGCACACTTTTTGTACCCCCCCCCTTGGATACGCCACTGCTGCCAAATGGTGAATGTGTCATCGACGTATCGGAGCCAAAGTTTTGGTCGTCGGGCAGAATGAAGAGCTAGCTGTTCAAATTCAGATGTTAGCAATGACTGGAGATAAAAGCGATCCCATTGCCGTGCCTTCTGTTTCTTCAAAGAATTGGTCATGCCATCTGAAACTGGTAGAAAGTAAACACAGTAAAAATAGTTCTGTCCTGGGTTGAGTGCTGTTCTTTCTTTGAGAGTAGGGTCCCCTTCTAGACGATATTTGGCTATGAGACAACCCTCTTTTACCGGTACATTTTGTGAATAAAGATTTGATGTCGAAGCAGACACTGAACCAAGGGTGTCCGTTGGTTGGAGGTAAACATCTTGGATCGTACCTTCACGAAGTGCTGTGAGTTGGTGACATGATGACCAGTGTTGCATACCAGTGGATACACTACCCGGGCAAAATACTTGGCTAGGAGGTACGTTGGTGATCCGCTCGAAGAAACGATGGGCCGTAATGGTATGTCCGTTTTGTGGATTTTCTTTTGCCCAAATAGTCTGGGGCATATGGATGCTGAAGGTCGAAGTTGGTGGTACAGTGTCTTCGAAAGCGCCGAGTCAAACGACTTGCTTGCGGCCCTCCTTTCCAGTGGCGCTGCCCCCCCTCCCCACCCAAGAGGGGAGGGGACAGAGCCCTCCAGATTTTGCCCCCGCCCCCTCGAGGTGGCTAATGAGGTTCATTGACATTTCTACATGTCGATGATCCGTGGTTTGCGTCGGGTCTTCTTGATCCTCCTATACGTAGGATGTTCAAGAGTTACATGATCTCGTTATACTTAGCGACATCCATGACGACCGTTGCATTTCCCTTATCTGCGCTGGTATAATATGGATAGTAGAGTCGGCCCTGAGGCTCTTCAATGCATCTCGTTCAACCTTGGTGAGGTTAGGTTTTGGTCTAGGTGTCCTTGCGTAGTATTTGAGAAATCTGCTTGCAGATGTTGTCTACTAAGGTCTTGTCAATCCCATTTAGCGATGGTTCTTCTCGTTGGACTATCTCTTCCTTCGGTAGGCCCTATAGTCGAAGGTGCCATAGCAAAGTTCAAGCCTAGGACGAGTACTGATTTCTCAGCTGTTGACAGATTGTGATTGCTGAGGTTGACTACAGTCTTAGCATTGAACTCAAGGCGAAGAGCAGCTTTGTAAGTTTCACTGTTGTTGCATGTGAGACGTTTAAGCTTCTTTATCGTTTTTTTTTTCGAAAGTGAGTCGCCTTGGGTAATTGACCAATTGTGGATTTTGTCGAAGTCCCTTGCTTGTAAGGATTGGTTAAGTTTAGGCCTAGTTTGAATGAGTCCAAGTAAGCAGCGGGTACTGCAATGTTGATAGTAATTGTTATTTTCGTGATGGAATAGACAATAACTGGATTTCCGTCAGGAGAATCAAGTATAGGTGTAATTTTGCCCTACCTGACGTAGAAATGTACTGAATACTCAGTACGTATGAAAACAATTGCGAAAAAAAACACGCAAATTGTTCTCGGGTGGGACTCGAACCCACGATCTACAGATCACTAGCCTGGTAACATACCTCTAATAATATTAATAACAATAATAATAGGCCTAATAATGAAAACAGGTACCGGTATCGCTGAACAACCTACTTGTCCTAGATTACGGCTATAATAATAATGATAATATATAATGATAATGATAATGATGATGATAATAATAATAATAATAATAATAATAATAATAATAATAATAATAATAATAATAATAATAATAATAATAATAACAATAACAATAACAATAACAATAATAATAATAATAATAATAATAATAATAAACAACTTACATTGGATGACCTTTCTGTTCCAAAGTTGAATCGTGTATGGGTGCATAGCGGGGTTTTCAAAAAACGGTTTCAAGCACATTGAAGTTGATATATGTACGGGTACATGACGTCATATTGAAATTAACCAATGAGTGAAGCGTATTAAGATTACGTCTGACGAATAATGAAAAATCGATACATGTACGGGTATATGACGTCAGATTGAAATGCACGCCTGAGAAACAGAGAGTTGATCCACTCGTTCACACCAAATTGTATACATGCAGACGTCAGATTGAAATTAACCAATGAGCAAAGCGCATTAAGATTACGTCTGACGAATAATGAAAAGTCGAGAGATTTGCGGGCACAAGACTTCTGAGTGAAATTATTAGCGGGGTATATAATTTTTTTTTATAATGCGGTGAAATGCTCGTTTATTTTCCCTGGGCAATCGTCATTCGAGGAAAAAATATAAGCATGGAAACTTAAAGAATTGCACGAGAAATTAATTCAGCGTTTGTAGCATAATGAACTAGGAAATGACATGGAATATATAGTGGAAACCAATTGTAATTTTTTTCAAATATTGCGAAAAGATGTATAAAACGCACGATGAACATCTTTATAAATTAACTAGAAAAGTATTGCTTGATTCAAATGAGAACATCGAGATGTTTTTAAAGAAGTAGGCCTATTGAAAGAAATGTTTAGCGATAATAAGCCTATAATAATCTGGGGCCGTATAATTATGCTTTTGTGTTTGGAGCGAGGTTAGCTGTGTTATGTAAAGATAGAAATAGAACTGATTTGATTGATCATGTAGGCCTAATACAAAGTGTAGACGAATTCGTGGATGGATTCATTTGAAAAGAGGATGGGCAAGTCACTTTTTTGTGTGTTAACAATCATTGAGTAATAAATACTGAACACAATAACATTACAGAGACTCTATATCAACGTTTCCAGGGGCGGATCCAGAGATGTCGAAAAGGGGGGGGGGCCGAAAGGGGAGCCGAAATTTGGGCCGATCGAGACAACAATGTCCTAGGGGGTCCGGCCCGCGAAATATTTGTGTTGTAGACGCCCGAAAATAACATTTGAGGCGTTGTGGGCTATCATTTTTTTCTTTTTCTTTCTTTCTTTTTTTTTACCTCCAAAAAGCGGGGGGGGGGGGCGGGGCCGGGCCGCCCCCCCCCCCACCACCGCCCCTGGTTTCGTTGGGGATAGCGTTAAGCCTTATAGCAATTTTAAATTGAATTAAGAAAAAAATTACGAATAGACGTTACTGACGTCATGGGTCATTAGTGTATATTTATTTATTTACTTTGTCAACTTAAATACAATACAATGAGTTACTTAATTATTGTACACTAATTAATACTAATAAAACATAATTGATTTATTAGAAGAAATGTGGGGTAAGAGTATCAGTTTAGTTTGTAAGTACTTTAAGACAGCTCTCTCATCCTCAAGATACTGTTATAAGTTCTATCAGGATGAATTTCTACAGACCAACAGCCGATTACACCGACTCCAAGATTAATGCGGAGGCTAAGGCAACGCAACGTGTTATGCAGCCTAAGAAACAATGAGTTGATATCGACCCGAACGCTAGCGCTCGTTCACGCCAAATGTTATACCGAGAGAATAGAAAAACTTATCGCAACCAAACCTATCCAGCGTGTTTGAGGTTTGAGTAAGTCCGATAATAGCTTAATGTTATACATTTATTGATTACCATTTCTAGTTCATTGAATTGTATTATACAATACAATAGGCCTACATCTTTATTCATCCCACATGGGGCAATTAAATAAAAGGGTCTAATCTGATTACAAGCCAAACAGATTAAAAAACATTACGTCATAAAATACAGTAACATTCAAAAGAATATTGATTACAAAGTTCAAAATGCATTACATCTTAAAATACAATACATAATATGTTTATTGTAGTTAAAAATTAAAATTAGTTTTGTTTCAAATATTTAGGATTCTTATCTTGCGAGCTTATGGTTGTTGCCTTGCTCTCGTTTTTGTTTTTTCTTTGTATGCATTTGAACTTGTAATTTGTATTGACGTTGTATGAGAGCAATAGGGGCCTAACAAATAGTTTTACAATCATCATGGTAACGTTCTTTAAGTAGTTTACTTAAAATGATACGACCATCACCTGTTGAAATAATTTTGATTAAATTTTAATTTTTTTTTTAAATTAGTGTTTTTAACGTATACATTTGAAGTTATATTGTTGGTTTAATTGTGTAGGCCTACATGTTTGATATTTAATTGTGGATTTTCATAGGTTATTATTATCTGATTCACAATGTTATTTCGTTGATTAATGCATTTTACATTTGTAATCTGTTAAAGTATTTCTTATTTACATTTTACCGGTTTATGTATTTTTAAAAATTTCCATAGTTTTTAATTGGCTTACATTTTTTATTTAAAGTTTGGCTTGATAGTTTTTTTTTTACTTGATGTAGTTTCGACCATTAAGTGAATTAGATTTGAATTTATTTACATGTTTTGAATTTAACTAAGTTTTCGATTCGTAATTGTAGCTTTGATCTTAAAACTTTTATCTAACTTTTTTTGGAATAAATTTAATAATTTCTATATATTATGATTCGTTATGAGTTTTAAAGTTTGTTTTACAGTTTGATACTTTCTTGATTTACATGTTAAGTATTTTACTAAAAGGCGTTTTATTTTATTTTAATTTTGATTAAAAATTTTCGAGCTTTGATTTTACGGATTTATTTTATAGTTTGATCTTTCTTTAAATATCTTAAATATTTCTTTGATATCCAAGTAAGTAACTTCTTGGTCTAATGTATTTCCGGATGAATTCATCTTTGCAGATATTATATTACGTATTCATAAAGTAAACACTAATGCTGATGTACTTGATCGAATGCTTTTCCCTAAATTTCTCCTAAATATACACTAAATACGTAGAAAGATTAAATGACGCCAGAGGCGTCTACTCGAATTTCTTTTCGTTTTATATATTTATATTTCTAATTTATTAAGTTAAGAAAATGAGAGTCGAGCCATTATTCATTCCATCAAGTCATCGTATTTGTTCAGTCCCTGATAACCCTGAACCATTTTATTTATTAAAATAACAAAAAATAAGGCTTTTATGCTCTATAGAATACCTGCACACTTTTGTTTTATTAACTTTTAAGTTTTGAAAGCAAAAGTGACGTCATCATTCAATACACCAAATCACCGTATTTCACTGAATATTCATTGATAGCTCTGAAGCAATAGAAGTTACATCTGTTGCATTAAAGTATCTAGGCCTACTCCCGTTAGGGCCATATGCGACATTTTGTAGTTATGGAAAAATATTGTACAGTATAAACCATTTCGGCTCTTAATAGAATAATAATAATATACTGTAATGTACTCACTATAAATATATAATATATATATATATTTTTTCTCCCGGATCTCCTCAATCTGTTTAATTTGGCCGTAGGGTGTTGTGCTATCCATCTGTCGTTGGGCGTCATAGTAAGTACGTTAAATGCATGCAGACTTTTAAAAGAGTTACTCATGCATACTAAAGCTTAACCCTTGATAATGACATTGGAAGAGCAAAAGAAAAGAAAACCAACAAAAGGAACGAAGAAAGAATAACACACCACACAGACGAGAAGCTATGTAAATAAAAGTTAATAAAAGAGAGAAGATATTATATAGTTCGGTTATTTTTCTGGGTACTTGTAAAATGCCTCATTCCTTTTTCTGATTCAATCCAGGGTTTAGTTCTCGTATCCGAACGGTTTCATTAATTTGTCGAATCATAGGGTCTTCGGAAAATTTTGTCAATAGATTAGATTTGATTTATTTTTTATGAGTATCTGTGTGTCTCAGACCTGATATGTTTCATGATCGGTGGGTGGGTGTTTTTGTATGTATGTCTGCATTTGAGAGCAGTCATGTACAGTTACTGTATAGGGTATGCGGTTTTGTATTTTGTATGTACTGATGTATGTGTATTTCATGTATGTTTCTGTATTTTTACTGTTTAGACGCACTTCTATTGTGTGCCACTAATGGAAAAGTGCATTTCCTAATAAATTATTATAATAGGGTGACATTTATCTTGTGGATGTATCCTATAAATAAATAATTATAATAGTACAGTGACATTAGAGAGCAGCTTAGCTCAGTCGGCTAATCTGGTGGTAGCCGCTGTGTGTGCGCTGAACTGTGGAGATCTCTAGATCCCCGGTTCAATTCCCATCGCTGCCCCTCCTTGTGTTTCAGCTAGAGGGCTGAAATACAAGTTACAATAGCACACCGTCTTTCGGATGAGACGTTTAAGCCGTTGGTCCCCTGTGCATTATGGCCCATGTGCATGTTAAAGAACGCAGTACACTCTTCGGAAAAGAGTAGGGGATTGTCTCCCGGTGTACTGCCCAATCACCACCAGAAGGACCCCACTGGAAGTAAGTCTTCTAGACTTTCGTGGGCTATCCTTGGTGTTTACACCGAATAAATCCAATCCAATCCAATTAAGGTGTGGTATATCCCATTGTTTTTTGGTCATGTGTTGATCAAAGACTGATGTGATGTGTTCGTTAGTATTGGTAATGTGTTCTTACCAAACAAACTTACTAATTAAACAAAAGAATTAACTAATTTGAAACATTGACAACCATTGTTCACGTCTCCAACAATCCCATTGATCATCCGACACCTTTGTTTACCCTTCTGAATCCCATTGTTTTAACTTAATTGACTATTTCACACACCTTTTGTTTACACTTCTGAATCCCATTGTTTTAATTCCATTGATCATCCGACACACCTTTGTTTACACTACCAACAATCCCTGTTTCAATGGCCACCACTGTTCAAAGATAAAGCTTTCATTTTTGTTGAAATTGGACATTTTTTCCGCTTCTTAATTTGAAAAGAAGCCATTTGATGCGCTATTCTGGACCGACATGAAGGTAACTAATTACTTAGATTTAGTTTTACTGTATTGTAAACAAATAATTGTTAGAGGTTAGGGTATGATTTAAATAAGTAAATGTTAATTATATTAAAAGATATATAAATATATTTCTAATACCCGATGTAGCATTTTATTTTATTTTTGAATCTTAAGTGTTTTTGTAGTTGAAAACGATCATTGATTATGACATCATTGCTTCAAATCAAGTGTGTAATTGGCAGATTTTACTATATATATTACATATAAAATATAATTTAAAAAAAACAGTTTACTGTTGTTTCTGGTAATTTTTGAATACGATAAGCTGTATTAAAATGTATTACTAATTGAAAATACTGTACTCAAGTCGGATTTCATTGGTAGAAGCAGAAAATTTTGCTGTCCAAACCCAGTACCTATAGTACCAATTATAACAATCTATGAGAAATTAATGATGATATGTAAATACAGCTTTGGGATATCACAGTCAATGACTGTTTTTGTTGTTTTTAACAAATCAAATTATCAATGATAAATTAAAATGATATTGATAACTACAGTTGCTCCTTAGTACCCTTCTCATTTAATCATTCATTAAAATAACAACCCATTTCCACAGGTAAATAATGAAGCACTTAAACAGTGATACTTTTGTACAAAATGTCTTTATTTTTTAAAGTTAACAATAAACACATGCTATCAATAAAATGTTTAATAACCTCACAAAAACCAAGGTTAATTGAAAATAACTAATGCTATTTATATGTAATGATGGTTGCTGTATTTCCACAACTCACTTTACCAACAACTATAGACCTCATAAAACCATTTAAAAATGCATTGAGTTTAAGTAACTTATAAAAATGTCAAATAATATCTATATATTCTCTTTGATAACACAAACTTAAGTGAATTATAAACAATATTTTTGGTAAATAAAAAAAGAACTGTTGAAATATAATAGATTTTTGCCCTTTTATACCAATTTATCTGAATATGGATGAGTTGCAGTTAACCACAGTTATTTTAAAACTAACACAGTGACAACGCACAATAGTGACAATCAAATTTTAAAGTGACAAATTTGTGTATTATACCCATATATGGGCATGAGGTCATATCACATCCATATATGGGCATGATGTCATATCACATCCATATATGGGCATGATGTCATATCACATCAATATATGGGCATGATGTCATATCACATCAATATATGGGCATGATGTTAAATCACATCCATATATGGACATGTCATATCACATCTATATATGGGCATGGTGTCATATCACATCCATATATGGGCATGGTGTCATATCACATCCATATATTGACATGGTGTCATATCACATCCATATATGTGCATGATGTCATATCACATCCATATATGGACATGTCATATCACATCTATATATTGACATGGTGTCATATCACATCCATATATGGGCATGATGTCATATCACATCCATATATTGACATGGTGTCATATCACATATGTCACACTAAACTTGGTAGTGTGGACAAAACTTAAGGCTGGTCCAGCCAATTCTGGCCCGTAGATGCTCATGTGCGAGCATGCCATGCAAATGTGCGGCCATTTTGGAGGCTAATTACCCACTTTGCACTCTAGCGCTGTCCACACTATCACGTTTTTCTCGATTTGCCCTTATAGAGTACTACATGTTGTGCCACGATACCATGTGATACTACTCCGTTGCTTTTGGCGACACAAAATACTTTCAACCAACGCCATTGTCTCCACTGACAAACCACTGATCTAAATTTCTAACGTAATTATTAGGATGTATCTTAATTTTTCTTTGTAAATTTTAATTGATGATTAAATGCGTATTAGATAACTAATATAATGTGAGCTTTTTGTATTTTTAGTACATTTTGATGGTAAATTATAAGGTTTTAAAATGCCTATTCCAGAAAGCCTATTCTAAACCATTAAGATTATGAAGTCATTCAGGTGTAATAGAACGGTAACCAACGTCCAGAGGGCGCCACCTGGTGTTGTGACGACACGACTGTAGTACTCTATATGGACATAATCATCTAACACCCACATATGAGCAAATAACATAATTTCACACTATAATATACTGTACGAGTGAATCACATTTACTTTTCATATAAAAATTGATAATATGGGCAGGTCATAACAGAGAATACGTCTATGGTCACCGTTAACACACAACCACATGCACACATACTGTATATACATAGAAGTATCTTTGTATATACACATACTGTATATACAAAGATGCTTCTATGTATTTTAAATGATCCATACATAAGCATACTACATTATATCAAACATCATTTTCACATAAGTAATGATATCTTTGTTAGAACACATCATTTACATGAGGTCAAAAGTCGTATGTGATGTCGTTTTCATCAGCAGAAGAATGATCTAGGACAAACAAAATTTATATTTTATTGAAAGTAAACCCTTACTAAATGAAATTTAAAAACAATTGAAAGTATAATATACTTCTTCAACTCAATAATCCTTCTGCTCCAGTTTTCTTCCAATCTCCATTAAGATATGGACCACAATAAAAATGCTATACTGTAAATCACAAGTTATTGAAAATATGTAAAAAGAAAATACTAAATACTGTCATTACATTTCTTAATAGAATATTTTTTAAAACAAACAAATTTATATTAACAGTGTTGTAGTACCAAGACTTACAGTCAAGATTTAAAACAATTTGTTATCAAATAAAAAAATAAATCTTGGAGATTTTAAATACATATAACTGATCAAAGAGTTAACTGTATCAAATAAAAATAATTTGCTTAATTTCTTAAATAAATTGGTTTTTAAAACCAAATAAAAGTACTCTTGACTAAAACTCTCCACTTCTAACTTTAGTGTTCTATTTCTTTTTGGAAGGAAAATTAAGAAACCTGATAATACATTCATTGGTTACGATTTATAAACTCAGTATCTGAATGAAGGATTTTAAGTAGACCGAAACCACTACTAATAATGCCAAATAGTTGAGTTAAACTCCAAACACCTGACATTCATTTGCAATTCCTTTTAGCTTTAATAATCAGTAAATCAAGTGTCTTTTACAATGCTTTCAATGCAACATGACTTTTAAAACTCCCTTACAGTACATATAAAAAGATAACTGTTAAAATTGCAAAAATATGATATGGAAACCAAAATGCAGATACACAAGTCCAGTTTTAAAACTGCAATTAATTATGTTTTATATCATTATTATTTATCATTGTCTTCCCATTAGCTAACGCAATATTGTAAGTTTTTCCAATCAGACTGTGCCATCATACCACCTATATAAAATATATGAATGGGAGTTCACAGAGCTTCTAAACACTGCTCACAACTTCTTTTTAAATTATAATGCAGCATAATATCATATATATATATGACATCATTCTCAAAGTTTTACAGTGTATCAGATAATAAATATATATTTTATGCATACTAATGTAGTAATTCATTAATTTTGTAATTTGACTCCTGTTTGGATTTGTTAGATTCCAGTTGGATTTCTGATATACAATGTATAAGTGTGGACCTGTGGTTGCAAACCCTATGTCCTAGACAATGTCATGAACTGTCCCATTCCCTAAACCTCAAACTAAGTATAGAGCACAAAGCCTCCCATTTACCCTTGCTATATATGGTGTAACAAATTAACAAACTTAAAATCTAGTTCATGGATTGAAGTTTCATTCTTTGATTAGCCTTTTGATTGGTATATATTCATTATATATTTCACAGCTAGCAGCTCCTTCCATTTCTGCCAGAAGGTGAGATCAAATGTTGATCTCTATAAATACACACCCTAACTTTATAATACATATCTTTAATAATAGATACCCTAGACCACAGGAATTAAATTTCATACATACATATACATTTTATATACACATTTATATATACATTTATATATATATATATATATACATATACATATATATATACACACACACACATATACGTAACAGCCTCTCTGGGCCTTAACATTAAACCCTGTGGGTATAACCCCCACATCATGCTCATTAACCACCCCAAACCATAACTCCCATTCTCATCATATCCCACTAACTTTCCAAACTTCAGTATACATTGTTACAAACACTATTGTAAATGGGTCTACCAATAGAATACAACTTTTGTAAAACTTTTTACTCTTATATACATGTATAACTATACAAAAATAGGTGACTGTTGATGCAATGGGCCTCAGCATTGATGTACATTCATATGTGGATAATGGTATATTCTACTGCTTGATAAACTTCCATTACTATTTAATGTATCCGAGTAAGTCGTCGGCGGATGAAAATCCTGATAATGATTCACAATTTTATCAAACCCAACTGGATAACTTTCATGCGACTGAGGCGGTGTTGGGTAATATGGTTTATTTAAATTTTGCGGAGTGTGTTCATTAGGTTCTTGACGGCCTAGCTGATTTAATGGCTGCTGTTGACGAACTTGTGGGGGCGGCCTTGAAGATGACTTCCGACATCCCGTGCAGTACATAATTAGCATAATAATAAATATAATGACGACTATTGATGGGATTGCGATAAATATTACATATTGGATTGTACTCCGGAAAGATTCATCGTCATCATTCACTTGCTGAGGATTTGTGGTTGTTCCAGTGCTTCCATCACTACCCACTCCTATATGGAAGAGAACAACATATCAGTGTTACTGTACTCTAGACACAACGTGACTATGAACAATGGTACACAAAAAAATAAAATGATATTCTGATCTTTAGTTTTATCTCATTTTTGCTTTATTTATTTACCATATTTATATAGCCCCCTATTTGAGATACTTTGTGTTCAAAGGCACTTTACATGATAAAAATACAAAAAATAATTTCAAACAATTTTTAATTGTGACATTGGTGGAGCTGTTTTATGAGATTGAGATCAGGGATTAGGATCAAGAATTGAGATACAAATGGGATCGGGGCTTGCTTCAGGAATTGGGATTAAGTACTGGGATCAGGGATTGGAATTAGAATAAGGGCCATGGATTTTGATCAATAAGATCAGAAAATGTAATTAAGATTAGGAACATACTTCAGGATCAGAACTGGAGATAAAGTTCAAAGATATATGGGATTACGATTAGGGATTAGGATCATGACTGTGGATTTGCATAGCCTACCTGGTGGCAATACCTCTAAGAAGGCACTTTTGAAGCTGTATCCCATGGTGTTGGCACCCAGACACACATACATCCCTGAATCCTCTTGTGTTGCTTTTATGATTGTTAACTTATTCAGGTACGTGCCATCCCTTTGCGGAGCAATCTGTCCCGGCGGGAGAACAATAAATTCTTGGCCATCCATGTCGATGGTTGTGTTTGAGTTTTTTAATTTATTATGTTGCTCAACACGCTTCAGCCACTGGATGTGCGGGACAATTTCACTTTGAACCTTGCATTGAAATGAGGTTGTTTCGCCGTACTTCACGGTAGTATTCACTGGCAACTCGTCAATCAGACGGGGAACTTCTATCGGTGGCTGATCTAAAAAGACATAAATGTTGGAAATTAAAATAAAGGAAATATTTATGGAAAAGCAAAAGAAACATACTGGGGAAATCAATGACGATGCAGCTATTTGTAGTTTTAGTGAATGACACCAAGTAATTAGAAGCGATTGGTTCAATCATATCTCTATCATTTAAATTTTTGTGACATTGAATTACATCTATATTTACAATATGCGAAGTCTGTTGAATCTGTTGTGTCATGCACTATATAAAACTCAATCAAAATTAAGTCTGTAATTAATCCACACTAGCATGGGTTGGACTGTTCACCATGATAGCTTTCCTCCAATTATTTCTAATCTGTGCAGTTGCACGGCTTATCCTTAGCTTCAGAGATCAATGGAAACAATACAAATCAGAATAAACTTAGTTAAATTTCATTGATATTTTCCATAATCCTTGACTTACCAACTACTTCCAATTTATAAGTGGCATTGATTTGCCCGTTGCGATTTGAAACGATACATGTATATACACCACTGTCTTCAGCTTTTAACTTGGTTAGGCTTAAAGTGGAAGGACCACGTTTTGTTGTTCCAAGCACGTCGTCTGTTAGGTTTTTCCCATCTTTTTTCCAGTATATATCTGGCCGCGGATGGCCAGTTGCCTTGCAATTCATGTGAACTGTGCCTCCTTTTGGCTTGACTCTTGTCTTTTTCCTCATCTTAAGTTGTTTTATAAATTTTGGTGAGGCTGAAAGAATTAAACAACTCTGTTGTAAAAATTGGTGTCAGGCTATATAATATAAGAATAACAAACAGAAACAAATAATAAAAAATCAAATAAAGCATGACAGAATATATTTGGTGATGGTTATTTCTAGAGAGGGCGCCATTTAACAATAATGAAAATATACAGTATCATCAGTATGCATACAAAATGAATACAATTAGATGACTCCCACATAAGCAACTTTGATACAATTGTGATACACTTGTAATATAAGTAAGCAAGGTAGGTCTACTATAAATTCTAACTTTAAGTGAGCATTATGTAAATCAAAGGCTATCCCTAGCTGATCGCAAAAAGGGAGAGCCACTGATGTAGGAAGATGATGATGCCACAAGCACCTCTCTGAGATAAACACATGCGCATTAAAATAGGACATCATTATTAAGAAATATCTTAATTCTGAACCAATCAAACATATGACATTTTCTGAAAGAGGAGATTTAAATATTCATACATTGATCATGTATCTCAAAGAATTAATATTAAGTTTTGAACTTACTGCCTGTTGTATCATCTGGATTAAGGCTTTCTTCTGTTTTTGGTTTGGATTCTAAAATAAACCCAAAATATTATTTTTAATTCAACAAGAGATATATTGCCTGTGAATATAAACCATTGGAATAACATGCATTCACAAAAAAAAAAAAAAAACAATTCACCCATCTGTAAGAACATCAAATAAATTGTGATATGTTCATTTACTAATATGCTGCCCTCTATAGTCTCAGATCTACATTTTACTTCCTTTTTAACTCTGTAATTCCTTGATTCATTACTAAATATTTAGACAAAGATGACAGGAGAAGTAACTGACAACTTAAAGATATTACCATTACAAAAAGATCCCTTAAATAATCTAATGGGACAAAAGTAAGAGTAAACACGACTGCCACGTTATTAATTTTTATAAAGAACTATAAATTTCAGATAATTTCAATAATAATGTAATAAGTGCATAAAGAAAATTATGCTGTTAAAAATCTACCACTATAATTATTATTATAATCATTTATTTAACACTATAGTTAAAAAATGGGATTTTATATCATGCAATTCAGCTGATGCTACCATTTGATATATGATAAAATTGTTTATTTCATTTTTATATCGCATTCCATTTCATTACATTTTACTCTTTCTTGTAAAAATAAATGAACACTAAATTGAACGAGTTAAGGCCAACTAAGACAGCGTTGTTTGACGTAGCCCGACGCGATTTCTTGTCGCGTCGGGTCTGTGTGAGTTGAACGCAGATGCGATGTTTGCGTCGGGGGCAGTCGCATCGTAGAATATTAAACATGTTTAATATTTCTCACAACTGTTTAAGACTGTCCCCGACGATAAATCGGGTCGGTCTGCGTCGGCCGACGCTGTCTGAGTTGGCCTTTACTGTCAAAGAAATTTACGATTCAATGTATTTGATGATTAAATACAACCCTAGTATCTAAGAGTGTTTAATGGGTATTTTTAGATACATTATACAACACTAATCTACATTTAAATTGCTGTAAGTACTGTAATACTGAGAAATAATATTGCAACACACTAAAACAATTTTATTGAGTGTTGTATGGACAATCAATATCAAAACGCCCATATTTATTTAATTTGATATTTAGTATGTACTTCAATGCTATAGTATACATACGATAGCTGTACACGTGATTAATGAATTTGGATTAAGCTTTGTTTCCATACAATCACTACTCTATCGCTAGAGCGTTTTCCCTGCAATCCTTGCACTGCGTAGCTGTCCCAACGCAATCAGGAGCGCTCCCAGATTCAACTGACCAATCAGCGTCGCCAAAAGAGTCAGCAATAGCGTGTAGCGATTTTCATGGAAACCAGGCTTAACAAAAGTTTTGAGAATGAAGGAAACAAGAATCAAAATAGGCAATGTGAATTGGTATCGAAGGTAAGTTACGAATTAAGATATCCAAGGTTATATGTTTATTTTAGTCTTGAATACCAAGGCGTACATCCTGAGAATTAATAGTTAAATATAAAAGCATGAAAAGCCTGTACAATAAAGGCCTTCGCAGTTAATCCAACCGGCTTTCCTCCAAACCGGCCTTCTTTTGTTATGTAACCTTTTCTGACCAAAGGCCATTGAAAGGTACAGCACAGCGTAGAGTAATTCGTCTCTAAAGGTTGCATGTTTTTAGGTTCAAAATTTGTTTACTTGTGGCAAAGATTTAGGTACATAATGCTGCCAAGGTTTAAGGTATTAGCACTTAGTCCGAATGTGTCTAGGACGAGGCAGCTAATGTTGGCAAATACATTAATTAAGGTGCATTTAAAAGGGTTTAATAGCAGTTTTGGGTGTTAAATTAGTTTATATATACACTAGTGTAAATGGACAGAGTAATTACTAGGGTGTAACATAATGGCATATATGCCCCATGATCTCTGCCATAAATGTGTACTTAGGCAAGTTACGATCCCTATGAACTAAAATGAACCTAAATGAACAGTGTTAATATCCCATTATCAGAGAAAATGTCAAAATTTCAAAAGGTATAATACGAATTGCTTGCCTCAACCTGCGTCATGTAGATCACTCATGCCACCTGGCAGTAAATAGGGATTAAATTTTCTTCCCCTTCTCAAACGAATCTAACGTCATGACTTTATGAGTACAAGCTCCTAACTTCCATATATTTATTGATTTGTCTATCTGCAACATTTGATTAAACAAATATATATACTGTATAAAATCTGATTTGATAAATCCTAATAAATTTAATTTATTTTTACCAAATGATATAAAAATAATTTACTATTAAGAAATAATGCTTGGGTGTTATTTTCACCTCTATATTTATTTGCCAATTATGACACAATTGTGAAAATCAATTTAGCTAAGCACTGCAGTTTTAAAATGTACTCTTTTGTACAGGTTCAGTAGAAATATAAATAAATTGTAGAACAGAGTTACACAAGCATACAAGAAAATGACAAGTAGATTTTTTTTATATTACATGAGTGTGTTTCAAATGCCACTAGCCTTAATTTATCTCAATCCTTGGGAATATATTGACGGAAAACCTGAGGCCTTTAAATTCTGCATCTTACGTTCTTCCAAGTCTCGCAATAACTTCCCCTTCAGACAAACCAGCCAATGGAAACCTCACATATGATTTACATTTCAATTACGCCTGACATGTCGCCGGCACCCCTAGAGGCTTGGGTAACCATAAACCTACGTTTGATACGTGCGAAGGAATTGGCAAAATAGCTTAGAAATAACAAAATTGTGTTTTGTTTAACTTTCAGTGGGATAGTATAGGCACAGCTGTCAGGTAAATAACAAATTTTCTATCTCATGAGATGCTTAAATAGGAAGCAGAATTCTTAGTTACATAAAGTTCTAGATACACATTACAGATACTAGTACACAGTAAGTAGTAAAGTTTGGAAGAATCCCAGCACTTTCAGTTAAAACATTCAAAAGGATCATATAGGCCTATAAGTTATCAGCCAATGATACAGATTAAAGCAATTAACATATTTTACAACTTAAATTAATTAAAACCCAATTTAAAAATCTGTAAAGCATAGATAAATGGTATTATTTAGAATTGGCTACAAAATTATATTCAATTAAAAGCTAAAAATTATATCCAATTAGAAGCTAAAAATTATATCCAATTAGAAGCTAAAAATTAATAAATATACTGAAATATAAAATTATAATTTAAAATATAATATAATAAATAAAAATTGAATTTTATTGTTCAGGTGTGTTAGCTCAATATCCTTATCCTTTTAGAGAAACATTAATGAATTATAAGAATGATATTGTAATACAAAAACCAAAACAGAAATCTGAGGGAGAGGGGAGGGAAATAACATTTTCAATATCAAGCAAACAATAGTTTCTTACATCTGATATAATTTTCAGCATTTACACAATAAAAATATGTTAGAAAAAAGTGATAGAATTCATACTGAAACTCCATTTCACTTAGCTGGGAATAAAACAAAATCTAATATCTCACTTAAAACCATGGGAAAAAATTAAATTCTTCCAAAAATAATATTTAAAATTGTAAGTGATATTCCAAACGTAAAACCTTGAACAAAATATTCTAATACAGTGGTAGTTAACATGTCTGGTTTAATAATGAAACAAACGCGATTGAACTGAAAACTTATTAGCTACGGGCAATTTCAGTAACCATTAGGTATCATTCACAACTACCGACTGCCTCATCAAATTACCGCAGCGATCACTTTCAAAATGACAGTTATGCAAACAAAAATGTTGTTAGCACAAAAGATGATAAATTTCCTTTCATATATATATATATTATATATATAAAGTAATATATAGAAAGTAATATTATTTTTAACATTTTTAATTCAATGATTAGATCATCGTCTTCATTTTAGAAATGAACAAAAATACCAAAATTGCTCATATATGGGTGTGATATGACATCATTATGCAGATATATAGGTATGCTATGGCATTATTATGCTCATAGTATGCAATGACATCATCATTCCCCTACAGGCATATCATACAAATCTTTCGCATAAAAGAGAGAGCTTAACATAAATATTATTTGATAAGTAAAAATTTAAATATTTTTCATTCTAATTGAATTCACACTAAAAAACTCTGATAAATAAATGAGCATTTATTATCAGACTGTATAAATTAACTAATTACTTTAAACATTTCTAAAATAATTTATTTAAAATAAAATCTTAAGAACATATTTGTTCCATTGTAATGAATATACAAAAATTAATAGGCCTAACTTAAAGGTTTTTATAAGCATTTTTTTAATTTGAAGTGTTAACAAAATAAAATAAAGTCATTCACTTTGAACAGTAATCTCAAACGGATTTCCTAAACATTCATCGGCTTATTTTAGAATTAAGATTTAAAGCGGTTTATTGAAATGCCCCAGGAGAGTACAGGTGACTGTATCAGAATATTTTGTAGGCCTATAACATGTTTCTTTAATCCAGCTGCTTTAAATGTCTTTAAAGTACAACTAAATAGCATCATAAGCCATTAGGCTTAATCCTAAGGCCATAACCAAGAGCCTTTCAACCACTCGACGCAAGTAGGAGCATCCACTTTATCACCTTCTCTTGTTAAATGCCTAGCGTGGAGCAATCCGATTTCAGAATCACAACTATCATATCACGTTTAATCTACGGAGCATACCCCATGGATCAAACTAAATGTAACATTAATCCATAACACATATCTAAAGTAAAGATCTTGCCAGACCATAACTTGAGAATTCCTCCGTCATTGACGACGTGGAAATCCACACTTAGCCGGCAAAAAATTTGGCCGACGATGGATCCTTGGTGACAATAAATCCAGCAATTGGTTACTTAAACTTGAGTGATCTCAAAGCATGCTTCTAAATTACTTAAATACAAAGCAAAATAAATGGGCGCATATGGTTTAAATGGGTGGGTATCTCATTAATGGGCAAGTATTTTTGTACTTTAAATGAGTATGTTGTAAATTGGTATGTCACTAGTTAGGAAACAGGTTAGTTGTACTTCAACTGGGTATGT